CTCAAAGACCCTGTCTGGAACCTCCATGGCCGCTCCACACGTTGCTGGTGTTGCTGCATATCTGATTGCTCTCGAGGGCGTGACAGCTGATAAAGCTTGTGCACGCCTTGTCGAGCTTGCTACCTCGTCTATCTCCAGGGCTCCTTCTGGCACTACGAGCAAACTTCTATACAATGGTATCAACGTTTAATGAGTAACCTCATAGCGTGGCGGATGATTTAACTATGGCCCCGTTGATGGCTATGTTTATATTCTTAGACGGGCTTTTGCAAAGCCAATGGAGGCTATATTCATGCGTGTTAGACGCCACGGTCTGTTGGATTATTCAGCTTCAGCTTATCTTACTCTTATTGAAGTGTGCGGAGATATTTTATAAAACTATAAAATATCGTGCTAACTAGATGACTTCCTAGGGTAACGAGAATCTTCATGGCTCAATGATATACTAGTAAATAGTAAATTTATAGTCATATTCGAAATCAACTTGACATAATTTACAGAAAGTATGCACCTGGGTATAATCCTATAGTTACACAATTTTGCTATTAAAGGAAAGACTCCCTTGTCATCCAACGTGATAGACGTGAATGCTACGGCACTTGAAGACTCGGATTTTAGTAGTTTGCTCAAGAAAGCCAGCTTTGTTAAGACCATCGGTATGGTTGTGGCATTGGATATCTTGCTCTTCGCGCAGATGCTGCAGACGGAAGTCAGAGCGGGTCGAAAGGTACTTATTTGAAGGAACTACTTCGTGTACTCCAAGCGGTGTATGCGCGAAATCCACCAGTGAGATCATTATCATTTCTTCGCCCAACTCACCTTCAAGCGATGAGCCAAGCCCTGGTGCGCTCGAGGGAACCAACTCTAATCGATTGAGCAACCTCGAGAAAGTCGTGACTCCGTCAAATCAAACAATTCAATATTCTTCCCCCGCGCTTGGAATCTCCTACCACAGGAAATCGAGGCTAATCTGTACATTGATGTCTTGAATAAGGAAGATTATGACCTTGATTTCCTGAAAAGGTTTGTCTATATTTACTAAAGTATCGAAAGCGCAGGAGAATAATTATTATAAGATCCAACTCCGGGTATCAAAATTCGGGTTTAGGCAAATAGCTGGGTATATCAGAAGGACTCCGTAAAAACTAGCGCATCATGGTATTGGGCCCAATGAACTAGTGGAAAAATGTAGGTAGTCGCACCCCTTGGGGTGTACTATATAAAGACGTTTGAGAACTGTCAGAGAGTGAATTTCAATCATCCAACTAACAAATTATTGCATTGCAGTTATTTAATACCTATATATAATGACGCGCTTTGAATTGCAGCATATATATTTCTTTCTTGATATAGTAGCTCTAGAAGCACCTAGCTACATGAAATAGTACTCAAGCTATTGTTCACCTCGATTGTGGACAGGTCTTAATTTCCAAGAAGTGAGAATAGAAAGAACATTACACATCACTAGATATTCCGTGTCCGTGAATAAGATAATTAACGGTATCTTAGTCGGTTAGCAGATTTCGAATTTCCTAAATCAACGACGATATCTCCTTCGGCGTTCCAGAGCGCAGCTTAGCAGCCATTCGGCAAAGGGCGACACAGAAGTTTAGCAGCTCGGCGGTATAAGCCTTACGTCTCCGATCACGGGCTAGATAATACAAGCATTTACGACTTTCAGTCATACATATCGTGCAAGGGGTCGTACCAGAGCACTACACTAGGTCAGCTCTGTCGTCGAATAGAGGAACGATAGTTTTAACCTTAGATTTCTTTTTCTAGCACTCGGTACAGGCCAGAGAGGCATTACGTCGCTGTTTTGTCGGCGAGTCCAATCTCAGATAATAGTTGCTAAATTCCTTATCCCTCGGCAGAAGCTCGCGCAGAAGATTATTCTTCGACATTGCAGGATTAGATAAGTGACGGCACTTCGCGGATAGAGAGGTTTAGATTTAAGAGTGGGCTTTAGGAGAATCATTGAGAACCAAAGAGTCAGGGGTACCTTTCAGGCTCCATTTGTTCTCCTTTCACATCCTTGCTCGCAGTTCTCTTTGTTTGCTAAACGGAAAATCATCTATGACAAACAAAGAACCTAGCTAGGAGACCCACTATAAGGGAACACTCCGCAATCCTATTAGCAGATAATCTATCAAACGGAAGCATCAGCTCTTATTGGCCACGTTACGTCCTAGAGCAACCCCCCATTATATTGAGCTGCAGTCGTTCCGCACGATCCCTAGCGTCTCAGCTAAACCAGCAAAATCGAGATACTTGCTCTTATACAGGAAGAGCACGATACGCACCAAGTTTATGTAGCAATTTAGCCTCCTTCGTCGACGCAAGCCAAATACACTTAACCCCGAATTACCGACTATCACTGAAATCTCTTCCGCAATGATAACGTCACGGCAATGTCCTTCTATTTTGAATTGTTTGCAAAACGTCGCAGCTCAGATAACATGCAGGACTAATACATAATTTGTTTTTAGGCTATCGTTACATATGTATACTAGAATACTGCCAAGAGCGGGGATCAGGATATCGACTTTAGTAGGTACTGTATATAGCGTGTCTTAAAAGAGGGTTCGAGAAAGAATCAAATTGGCGGACAGCCCCTATTAAGCATTCTATTGGTCCGGTGTAGATACGATCAGCTCCTTTTCAGGGAACCGGATCGACCGAGCCAGAACTAGAGCGCTTCCTCTTTCTTAGTAGTTTTAGGGATTTCTAAATAGCTTAGTGAAGTCCGTGCTTATCGTGTAAGTGATATTGTAACTAGCGTTCACTATTAAATATTTAGATATATCTATATAGTGGTTTTAAAAGGGGCTAATTAATATTAGGAATATATTAACTCTCAATATATTCTATTAGGTTATAACTTCGCGGCTAATAATCTAAGCGTTTGTCGGCTAGAAGACTAGAGTCCGATAAGCAGAAGGGGTAGTATCTAGGACGAATAACGGAATAACGGTATTTAATTACTTCATAGTGTCGGATTTACTGTATCTAGAGATATTCGGCGCAATAATCTCGCTACTAATAGGACAAGTACTATTCTATACACTTATAATAGAATCTTATTCGTGCTTCTAAGACTTATAAATCAATCGCTTTCTCACGCCGTATATATTTATAAATATAAGCGCTTCTTTCACATTTTTTTAAGCTAATAAAGTCTATTAGTACCTATAATCTAATATAAAGAAGACTACTTACCTTTTAATATTAATCTAGCAATATTTAGAAGGGTAGAGCCCTTTAATAGGCTCTTTATTTAGTAAATAGACAATATTAAATTCGCGGGCACACTAAGTCTATAGGTCTTAGACAAAGAGAAGTTTCTCTTTAAAGGAAAGCTTAGTAGTGAGGGCTATATGTAAAGAAGAGGGGTCTAGTATTTGCAGGATAGAGCCTGTCAACTAGGTAAGACGAAGATGCCTGGGAAGCAAGTAGTATATCGGAGGAATACAGAGACTGATTCTTGGAGAACCTCTAGGTTCTCCTGGAGTGCACTATTTAACATGGGGGATCAGCGTTACGGTGAGGAAACGCTGACGTGTCGACACCTGTATGATGTTGATCCTCTGGCAGTGCGAGAGATCTGTGCATGCTTCCTGAGGACTCCGTTACACTATAGCTATTACAATTCGCCCTACCTCCAGTATTATTAGGCTCTAAGCTCGCGTGAAAATATTATTTTCTAATAAGACCGGTTTGTCTTTACCGCGACTAAGGATTTTCTAGTCTCTTCTCTATTATATCTATTAACATTGATACTACTTAAGCTTAGATCGACGCTTTCGCACTATTAATTTACGTAAATTTAACTTCTCTGCCCCAAGTGAAACTTTATCGTTACAGCTTTCAAAGTTTTCAATCCGATTTTATATTTCCACTATTTCCGGTTATATCAAAATACTTTCTTTAATATACGCTAGAAGTTTAAGGGGTAAGCCGGGTTCACAAAATTGCCTATAGCCCTAGAAGTACTTAATGTGTTGCGATTAAGGCTCCTTATTTAGTATAGGCGACACTATATCTATAGAAGAGTAATAGGCCTAATAATATTCGGGAAATATTTTTAGATCGCGATATACAAGAATCTGCGAAACTAGAGCAGAGCTATACCTTTCTATCTAGGGCGTTAGTCTATAGGTCTTATAGTGTGGGACCACGCAGTCTCTAGGTTTGGATAGGTAAGCTAGGTAGATGGCCCAGTTATACGTGTAATACAATAAGGTTGATTGTATCAAGAGACTGAACGCTGGTCCGTCCAATAGACCAGCGAGAAATGCTTATATACACGACTGGCCCATTCGTGGGCGGTGAGATCCTAGATCATCCTCCATGCCTTAGGCGTTATCGACCTCCTTAGTTTGGTAGTGGTCCTGACATTATCCCCCTCCTTAGAGACCACGTCCCTAGGGTCTTATAGTGGAATGGGTTATTCCCGCCGGTCGTGTTGGTCTATTAAAACCATGTAGGGCAAAAACCTCTATCCTTGGGAGGGAAATCCCTGCATAGGAAAAGGTATCCAACGTCGACTAGGTCATTCCGGTATAAAGTGGCATATCTATAGTAGTGGTAATGGCTAGGAAGCATGTGATTAGTGTAATAAGAAGGGTCGTTCCGATAAGCTTTTATGGGGTATTCCGGTAGGGCTGAGTAGTAGGTTAAACGTTTGCTTGTTAACAGCAATTGCTATCAGACTTACTACCTATAAAAGGACCCTTTTTATGCTCCACGATCCTTCCTCTTCTTTCTCCCTAACCGATACGCTTATAACCATAGTAAGTGTCCCTTTTCTCACTATTTCTTAAGATACTACATCATCAACTAAGGCACCTAATACTTCCTTAGCTAAGGCCTACGTATTACCACGTAGAATGCATGTATAGTATGCCTTAGCACAGAATGTCCTCGTGTTCAATCAACTCAATACCACGCCCATCATACAGTAATACAGGATCCACGCTGTTCACAAGTAAGACCCTTGTTTAGGCCAAGTTTTCTTCGTGCCCAGCAGTTGTTTTGTCTGAGACTGCGTCGCGGCGATGAGTTGGATCCTCAACTTCAGCCAATTGAGCACCATAACCACTTGTCTGGTACGTGCGGAAGCGCCACACAGATACCTTTTCGTGGAACAACTCATCGAGCTCCTCCAGACTACGAAAGCCGGTCTCCGGGAAAAACAAGAAGGCCCATATAGCAGCGGCAAAGGAAAACCCACCGTAGAGGAAGCCAATTCGCGCTCCAAGATTTCCGTAACCAGGATCCTGAATGAAAGGGGTGATGAAAGTAACAAGGATGGAGACACAAAACCCGACAAAGGTGGCTATCGTGATCGTCTTCTCCCTGAGCTGCAGGGTCGGCACCTCGGCTGTTACGATCCACACACTAGGCGCCAGTCAGTGAAATGTCTCAGCTTTCATCATCCTATGTCAGGTGATGGACTCACCAGCTGCTCCAGCCGATAGACATTGCCGCCTGCCATATGAATATAAACGCAGCAGCGGTCTTCTGGCCGCTCGCGTGACTCGAGTAGCCAGAAGCCTGGATTGCTGAAATTATGTACATGCTAACCCACAAGGCCACCGCGGTGACGATTAGCAGCCAACGTCGACCAAAACGATCAGGTACGTAGAACGCGAAGCCGGAGGCAAGGGCCATGGTGAGCGACATCAAAATCTGAATCTTGTAAATGTCCTGGACGCCGAGTAATTTGAGGTAAACCACCGAGTAGGTGGCCATGAAAGAATTTCCCTGCGCTTGCTGCAGACACTGAACTCCGGTGGCTATCAAGGTGCGACGGAGGTTGGATCCTCTGTAACCCGGTTCTCAGAATTGTTCAAAAGGGCTAGATTTATGATAGAAAAACATACCTAAAGCATTCAACCCAAGATCGGTCAAATTGACTCTTGTTCTCTTTTTCCGCCGCCATGATCAGCTGGATCTCCTGGTCGACGACCTCTGGCGACGTGTCTGTGCGAAGAGTTCTCAAAGAATTGCCAGCATCCGCATGACGATCTTTTCCAATTAACCAACGAGGACTTTCGGGAACGAAGAAGGATCCGATCACGAAGATGATGGGTACAGTCAGTTGAAGAATGAGTACCAACCGGTATGCCCACTGGTCTGTCCGTTGATACATGCCCCAGTTCGCCGTGTTCACCAGAATTGCTCCGATCGAAATCGAAAACTGGTAACAATTGACTAGTGTTCCGCGGATGGAGAGGGGTGAGACCTCAGCTAGGTATGCAGGTACCGTGTTCGCAAGGATGCCCAGTGCTAATGAGTTTATGATGCGCCCAACCATAATCTGCCAGTAAGAACCCATAGATGTGCACTGGATGAGGATCCCCGCGATAGAGATCACAGAGGAAAGGCGGAAAGTTTTTAGGCGACCGAGATGATTGCCGACCATTCCAGCAATAACGGCGCCCACTGCAAGGCCTGCAATTGGAGGCCCGCTGCCTGCAGATTTCCAGGTTGACGGGAGGTCAAAGCTGTTGGTCTTGGGGTTGTAAACGCCGAAGTCATTAATGAACTGAGGCATCGCCAGCATTCCCGACCAATAGCCGTAATCTGTATGCAGTCAGCCAGGGTTGTACGTAGAACACAGTTGATAGTGGCTCCCACCGATACCAAATCCAATAGCACCGAGCTGTGCATATTTTCCGCGTTAGATCGATGCACTGGAACTCCAAACAACCGTTTTTGTTCCCACTTTCGTTGGGGTTTCCGATCACCTACAGAGCAATAAAGGGCAACCAAGAAGGTGGAGAGCGTCATTTCTTTCATGACGTTCGCGTCAAGGAAGCCTGTGATCAAGTCCATGTTGAGGGTATGATAGGACGGTAAGTTCACAATTTTCCAATCTCAAAGGTGGGGAAGTCCACAGAAAAAGTATTCTCTCGTATAAAATGTGGTATTTCCCGCGCTTTTGAGACTGAGAAGTCAATACCTTCCTGGCACCGATTGGATGAGTACTGGTTCATATACCATGCGGAGCTTCCGAGATTTCGGAATCTGGGGTTGAGCACAGAATGTGGAGAGAGGAAGATAAGATAAGCTATGGCGTTCCCACTTATTGGCTTTGGCCATCAGGACCTGGCCAATATGGTCGGCTATTTTGATAGCGACCGGCTATTTCCCCATTTTTGCGAAAGAGGCTTATCTGACGATCCGCGAGGTGGTTCCTTAGCAGAATGCAGGTCACAGCCTTGGGAGACCCCGCTCCAGCCTTAAGTGAGTCTAACCTGATTCGGTTTAGCATTAAAGTCATATGACTCTTGGCATACAGTAACTTACATACCTAACTCTCTTCCTCATACAAATTGTTTACTGTCGGAGGTGAAGATTTCGGTATCGACTAGTACTCATCGGGACCCCTTGAATCAGTCTCTTGGTTGATTGATTGAAAAACTATCTATAGGCTGCTGCTCAGAAGGGCCATCTGTTCAGGGGTTTGTTTAGCGCGTTACAGCACTGATCTCCCGACAATACAGTGGTGTATCATAAGTATTTGACCTCCGGTACTTCGGGCCTTGACCGCCGTTAATACCGCCTACTTGATTAGGTCATAAACCTCGCGCGTGTCAACATGATAGCATACACGCTATATACCAACGCATTCTAATACAACTCTCGCATTCTTGTATTTAAACATGCCTTTGATACGCGGGAAAAGGGGCAGTGGCTGATGTCATTAATATATCCTACTAGCTATTAACTGAAACTGAACTTTCTGAGGTTTCTGCATGGCAGTATAAAAAGTGGGCCTTAGGTCAAAGTACCGGATATCAAATCCACTATACACCGATTACTATACAAGACAGGTCGGAGGTTGGGTGCTGAATCATCCTGCTCCTAGTGGTAAGATATCCACCTCCCTTATTGACATTTACTTCCCTCCTACCCAACTTTACGTGAGTGATCGACTCCCTACATCTAGATCTATGTAGATCCAGCATGGCCCTAGTTGCGCGGGAGTCATGTGACCTCGCATAGATGAATTTATACAACAGTAGTTAACATAGAAGACGCGACTGTAGGTTTTTTTTTTTTTTTTTTTGGGTTTTTCTCCCCGCTGGGCTAATCTAGAGTCCGAGTTTCAGATTCGCTAACCGTCTCACCTCCTTTTGCCCGGGGGTCAGCCCTTCTTCGTCTTCGTCTAAGCGTAGCAGTCCCATCGCCTTCAGACCATCGTCACTTAAAATGTTTTCTGTCCGGGCCCCGTGGTCTTCGTGCTCATATTCCTTCTCAAGGCTACCCTGCTGCCGTACGAAATCGGAGGGCACATCCGCCTTTTCGAACGCCGCACGGGTAAGAACGAGAGAATCCGCGTTGTGGGGAGTCAGGGGGTTGCATGAATTGTAAGAAACACTGGAATCATTTTTGCCTAGGTTGAGCTGATCAACCCCGTGTACCAGGTCACAATGCCAGAAGACATAATCCCCTGGCCGCACAGGGGGAATGCCGACTATCGCCTTCTCAATTGCCAAGTGAGGATGGTGATCCGCCATAGGGAAGAACTGGGTGTGTCCAGGGCTGGCCCCTGGAAAGGTGGGCAATGAGTCGTTGTACTCTCCGGTATGGAACAGCGGACGCAACATGATATAGGCAACAGATGCTTTCAAGCTCGGCAGGAGGCGTAGGGTTCCCTCGCCTGTGTTCGTATGCGATAGCGAGAGCCAGCCTTGGAGACTGCGCCAAGTTGAGCACGATATTCCGGATTGATAAAGGTCGGTCTTCGCCGCGACGCGGTGGTCTGCCGCCCAGCCATCCCAATCTTCCCAATTGCCCTCGAAAATCGCGGCGAAATTCTTGCGATTTTCCTCGTCCTCCCATCGCTCGATTGCACCGCTGTCAAGGTGTGGGGCCAACGGGAATTGGTCGGTGTTGTCACTGGGGTAGCGGATTCGGAATCGATCAGGGTAGACCACCTGGCTGTCCAAATCAATGAGGGTCGATGGATCGGCTACATGCCAGAGCTGGGAGACAGCTCTCATAGCCTCAATGACTGCGGGGTGCGAGCGAATCTGCACCTGTGCGGGGGTCCAGAAGGTATTCCAGCAGGCCGGCCTTTTAGCAGGATGGCCGCCGACTCCGGGATGTCGATGCACGTAATCCTTTAGCGACGCTTCCCAGGCCGTAGCCTGGTCCTCGCTCACGACATTGCGTAGAATCACGCAGCCACGGTCTCGTACAATATCGGCGAAGGCCTCAGGAAGACGACCGTCTAATATCTGTTCTTTAGCCGCCACATCATCCGGACTGGACATGGAGAACACCAACCATTTTTTCGAACATCATTAAAGTCAATCTCTGGAACCAAAGCAGAACCAGATTTCTCAATTAGCGCAATCTCTTTTGTCAAAACCTTGAGAAGTCTGTCATAGGACTCAATCACCCTCTGCTTGTTTTCGGGCTTGACTAGGGATTGTTTCAAAACTGAGAATCTCTCATCCAACAGCGGGGCACTAGCAAGCGCAGTGTCAGCGGGGGAGAGGCTTTGGTGTTTGCTACAATGTACTCACTTGACAAGCTGATGGATCTGCTTTTGTAGGGTGGAATTCATGTCAATTGGTCGAGAAGGAGGTTTTCTTTAGCAGTGCTAGGCAGTAAGATAATCAAAGCACGAAACTAGGTTTCTGGTGTCCTATGTTTCTCTTGTATGTCTTCTCTCGTCGGAAAGTTGGGAGTCCATTGACATAAAATACCGCAATTATCGGGATAAGCTAGAATTCGTCGCCAGAAAGTCTAGGTTCCTTCGGGCTTCTACGCCACTTGCAGTATCAAGAACAGCCGGTCGCTAAATTCAGGCGTTCCTCGGTAAATTGCCCAGGAGAGATCTGCAGATCTGCGAAAATGCCGGCCTCTGCATCATTTCTACTGCATTCCATTTCTGGGGCCTCAGATCACAAATGGATCAATCCCACTCTGTCCGAGCAGCTCAGAATACCTAAGGCGCCTTTCATGCGGTTTTTTCTGGGGAAATGCAGTATGGAGAGCTTCACGGGCCCTGCGTAAGTTCTCACCTGCCTTCCCAAGAACCTCAAATCGCTCCAGAACCCAAGCCCGATGAATCATGTCATCGGACTCAAGTGCCACCACGAACAAAGGCCAGGCTATTCGCCCCATGGCCTGATCCCCTTGGTCACTATAAGTACGGAACCCGAGGGTCATTATCTCTCGTAATGATGAGGTTTGCTTGACATTTAATGCCATCGATGAATTGACGAGGCTGTAAAAGCAGAGGACAATCGCATGGTAGAATGGAACAATAGCCCGGACATTCAGCACGTACGTCCTCTGTGGGCCTTCTTTCGGAAGTTCAATCAAACTTGCGGCCGTGAGGAGGTCTTTATACCTCAGTCCAACGTCTTCTATAGCGTATGCCAAAGTCTTCTTGTCAACTCCGAGGCTCGAGTTGGGACATTCATCGACAGGGGCAAGTTTAGAAAGCATGTAGCGAAGCTGGCCTGCCTCCGCTTGGAGGCAGAAGATTTGGCTGCACTGGAGATCCTCAATAAGCTCGCTTTGAGGATAACTGGCGCCCCAAGCTTCATGATATACGAGAATTGCATGCTTCTGAAGAATGTTAAACCCCCTGAGTCGTGAAAGGGCTTCGTTCTCCGCCAAGTCCGACATAGCTTCACCAAGCAGGTCGTTGAAGGCAGCCTCAATTCCATTGAGAGCTGCACCACCATCTATCAGGGAGATCCAGATGAGCATCTGGCTTGAAAGGGAAGTGATGTGACACCTTCCTCTTCCGAACGAGATCGAATGTCTTCAGCCCCTTGCTCGTCAAATTGAGGGCCATTCTCGGCGACGATGCTTCGGAGATTTCTTAGTCGTCCTTGGAGCAACAAAGCAGCGCCTCGTAGGTGAGTTGAGAGACCCGCTCCGGTACCATCGCCGTGAGTCCGCTCCAAAGCAATCATGAGCCAGAGAGCAGCAAGAATGAAGTCCAGATCGGACATCTGCGTGAGATCCTGGATGGCGGTCGCCAATAGCCGAAGCGCCGCGCTGTAATGCTCAACCGCCTCTGATTTGCGGCGCTGGGCCGTTGAAGGATGCGAGCTTTCCTGACACAACTGTAGCGACCCCAAGGCACACGCCATGTGGAGAACCAGTGGACTTCTTTGGCTCAAGGTCCATATCAAAGCTGGTCCACTGAACTCTGGCGACTTCGTGTCTACACTAGGTGATATTACAAAACGAAGACAGTGGATGGCCTCATAGTCAGATTCTGACAAGAGAATGGCGCAGGCGGGTGAAAGCGTGATGCTGGAAGTTGATGTAGGACAAAGTGGGAGTGAATCCAGCCCATGCGTGGGAACATGTTGCGACTCCCCGGTCGGTGACTCCGGGGAGACAGTCGAGCCTCCTTCTGAAATTGGGTCCTTGGGTTGCGACCCAGGCAGAGGAGCAGTTGAGCCAGTAAGTGGTACCTCACTATTTTGGGGGCCGAGTTGCTCCGCCGCGGTGTGAGAGCCATCGCCTTGTCTGGACGGCGAAGTCAAAGTAGTTTGTCTGGAGTACGGCTTTCGTGGCCGCGGCGTGTAGTCACAGTGTCGATTCAAGCGAGTGCACCTTGCGCAATTTGGACGTCCTTCGTCGCACTTGACCTTCTTGTCCCGACAGGTTTGGCATCCTCGGCGCGACCGTGACCTGCAGGTAGCAGAGTGCGGATCACCCTCCCGGCTCCCAACGGAGGAATAAGGCAAGGGATGCGTTGGGGGGGTCATGTCAAGGATTGCGAGGATCAACAAACCCCGAATTAACCGAGTCCACTAGGAGAGCCACGAGGATGAGGATCAAAAGGTCGAATTGCTCTCACATGTTCCCTCGCATCAGTCGTTGTGGACGATATTTTCCGATCGGCAATTGCGTTGATGGGGCAAATTTGCCTCAGGTCGGTAATTTGTGAATAGCCGAGGAGCGGTAGACGAAGGTTGAGGAGATTATGACGGTAACCCTCAACAAGCACAGCCCCTTATCATGGGGGCTCAAGCCGGCGACAAACTCATGCTTTTCAAGAGCAGCAGGTCGCGAAAAAGGTAATCATCCATCCAAATTACCCAAACTACAAACATGGCGCTCGCAACAGCTTCAATCGATGATCCCGAAACATGGCATCTTTTTGCCAACCTCGACAATGAGTTCTTGAAGGTACTCCTTTCGCTACTTGAAGCTGTCCTCAATTGATGCGTAGCCTACTAAACTGGAAGCAGATGGTGGAGGGTGGCGTGCAGTCGAGGTTCCACCGGGGCGATGCACCCTTGGGCTTGCCCGAGATGCGTGCGAAATGGGATGCGGACTTCAGGAAGGAAGCAGACCTTCTCCTAGAAGAGTCGAAAGGGGAAGTATCGGAGGAAGAAATTTCCATCTCTGTCCGGGATGGTAGCACGGTGCGCGCGCTGGTATATCGCCGCACGTGCAGCCCAGCGGAGAAAGGGCCGCTTTTCATTATCCTCCATGGCGGAGGATTTCGAATAGGCAACGCGGAAATGGAAGCGCGCGCATGTATCGGTGCCACACAGACCTATGGCTGTGTCTCAGTCAGCCTGGAGTACCGGCTGTCTCCAGAGAACAAATTTCCGGTGGCTTACGATGACGCGTGGGACGCGTTGTTATGGGTGAGAGATTGTTCCAAAGGTGGAGGTGTGGAATTTTTTATGTTAACCAAGAAGAATAGCTATCCAGAAACGACTCTTCTTTGGGTGCGGATGTCGCCCAGGGATTTGTATTCGGAGGCACATCGGCCGGAGCTCATATAGTAAATGCCCTTGTCCATCGAGCACGCGACGAGATGCTCCATCCTCCAGTGACAGGTGTCTACCTGAGTGTCCCACCATCTTTAGCGCCACAGGCCCTGACAGATGAGTACAGGGATCTATATCGAAGCAGAGAGGCACTCAAAGATGGGTTCACGCTGACGTCCGAGTCCATCGAGTTGTATGATCGAGATGTAGAACCCGACTTCACTTCTCCTCTCTGGAGTCCTCTTCTTTGGCCGACTGGACACGCCAATTTGCCGCCTACATTTTTTCAAATTTGCGGTGCTGATCTATTGAGAGACGATGGCTTGATTTATGAGAGGGAATTGAGACTGAAATGTGGCGGCAAGACCAGGGTTGTTGTTTACAATGGCCTGCCACACGTCTTCTGGTACACCCATCCATCTCACCCTACCAGTGAGAAATTTGCTAAAGATACAATCCTCGGCTTGGGCTGGCTCCTTGGCAAAGAAGTCTAGGTCTCCTTATGAAAGTCACAAAGCACTCTATATAGCAAAAATGAGAACTAGGCGACCCTCCTATCTTGATAATTTGTAATATTTTAATAGACATGTAGAGCTTATCTAGGACTACAAACCGGTATACCCTACGTTCAGGATGAATGGGTGATGGTAGTGCTATGATATGTCTGAAGTGAAAGAGAACTGACAGAAAAACCGACCGAGATGTCCGCTGTTGCTCCTCCCCCTAATTCTCGTTTCGGTCGCTGCCAAATTCTGTCTCCCACAGCGGCCGTCAAAGTGAGCCCGATATGTCTAGGAATTATGAACTTGGCGAAAGCTGGCACGTCTCTTTTATGTCAGAATCTGCTTCCTCGAGATTTTAGACCGGTAAGACATAGCACTCGCAGGGCCAAAAATTGCTCCTAGAGGACGTTGAGGCCGTTGTGCAAAGTTGTCCACCTGCCTGAGTGTGAGGTTTCTATTTACTCGAGCTATCTCGTAGCATAAGTTGGAATCAACCGAGTCAACCAAGGACGCCCTAGGTTTCATTATTATCGGAAATGTCCTATCAATGGTGCAGGAACAGATGGTCGATCATTCCGGTCGGAACCTGGTCCGAAAAGTCCTACTGTGTATGCGGAACTCTCTGATTATCTCCGTCGGGGTGGGAGTGATGCGGGCCAACACCACAAGATAAGTGGTAGGGTTCTTGGGACTACTACACAATATGAAACAGATTTTTGGAATAATATATTGTATCCAACAAGCCATCAGCCGTTTGAACACACTTCATACAAAGTGACCTTAGCCATGTTCAACGATATCACGAAGCCGCCTCCTCCACTCCCAACTACGGAGCTTTTTGAACTTGAGGATGGACTATCCCTCATGCCCCCACTCTCTCGCAGGGCACATGGTCCGGGATTAATTGTCCTTATTCCAGACACAAGCCAGCAACTGGCTATCATCGATGGAGTTCCGTCTCAACCAATTAAATGGGCTGAAGAAGGTTACACTTTGGTAGCCATCCAGAGACGGGCACTGATCACTGGAGCGAAAGATGCGCTCACCAGGGCAGCCGAATCCTTAGCAAGGTGTGAGAAGTGTGCGCCAAATGGAAAAATTGGTCTTGTGGGTAAGTCATGACTATTTTGAAACTCCTCTAGAGGGATTATGACATCCTTTGTTTCAGCACTAAAAGAGATTCAGCCTACGATCCGGAGCTCTGGAACCATGCAGCACCGAATCTACCACTTGTTCCGTCAATCGCTGGTGCGGTAGTTTACAGCCATGTGTCTGATGAGCCAAGCCTCGAGGCTGCTGCTGTGCCACTTCTCCGGCACTTAGCCGGCAAAAGGCCGGGCACAACAGAGAAAACGAACACCACAACAGCGTTCTACTATCCCAACGTAAAGTCTCATCTCTTTGCAAGCCCCTTCCAGGATCAATTCAATTATTGGGCCGAGTCCGTTTCACATACTCGAAACTTGTCATTTCTGAAGCCTCTCATGAACGGACCGTACTTTGATCTTGAAACAATTTGGGATGAGCATACCTATTATGAGTTTACCGATCGCTCAGTTGAGCATACTATGAGCACGATGGTTGATCAGCCATATGTAAACCATGTTCCAACGGTTGGTGGCTTTACCCAAAACCATTGAATTCAGGCAGCTAAATCCGATTTTAGTTGACTGGGGGAATTGGCCGCGGACCTTTGACACACTTTTATCGACATAATTTCATCTTCGATAACTCGGCTGACACCGAGACAGAACTGATCAGTCGGACCCTGGGAATTGATAGAGTGGTGGATGAGTTTATTTTCAGGTTCACACACGACAAGGAGCTTGACTGGCTGTAGGTCAATTTGGTTCACTTTCGAAGATCTGTTGCTAATGGACAAAACTTTTATATAGGCTACCAGGGGTACCACCGACCCACAAATTCGTTGAGGTACCGTTTACCGCGGTCGTCAATATCCGAGGCGATAGATTGTATCACGAGCACATATCGTGGGACCAGGGAACAGTGCTCGCGCAGCTCGGCTTAATGCCTGAGTATTTGCCATTTCCATACCCTTTATCGGATGGGACTGCAGGCCCTGCTGGCAAGCGGTTTGAGTACCGTGTTCCTGTGGCTGGTATTGACACAACAAAGAAGGTGAGGGATAGGAACTCTGTTCCGTCCAATGAGATGTTCAAATACAGTGTCAGAGAATTATCGGAATGAGGTTAACTTTGCCTTGACTTCTTGAATCATTTCATGTGGGAATCCTGATCCATTGAGATAAAAATGCAAATCGAGTTTTTATCTTTATCCACGGAAGAGCTGAGAAATATCCTTACTCGTGTATCTAGACGGAACGTAACAAGCATTCTCCAAACTTTTCCCTGATCTATCTCAAAATCTTGCGTGATAAATATTCTGGGCTTATTTCCATCTCCGCGGCACAAATTCGTTATATTAATCACATTGGCCATAGGAATCTCATCACGATCGCGAATTCTCGCGTTGAAGTGGAACAATCCCAATTGTCATTGTTGCCCATACTCATATTTTGAGGGTTTGTAGATTGGAGAGTGCTGCAGAAGAGATTCGGGAAAAAATGATCGACTAAGACTCGGGTGGGTGGTAGACTAGCTGCGATAATGGCACAGCATATCTCGATGGTGGAACCGATTGATACGAAGGCTGAATACCAGGATGGGTCTTCAGTGGCGTAGAGGTTAATCACATGGACAAGACCGCGGATGCCAGCAATACAGGCACTAATGTTTGATGAGCAAAGTGTGTGGGCGGATGGGGCGGTTGACTCTCTTACACTCCATCAAGAGAAAGCAGAAAAACGACGATTACTTTTATTCGCCACGACATATAGAGTCTTAGTTGACTGTCAGACTAATTTTGTTCCAGGAAGATTAATCCCTAGAATGGTCTCCAATGGGAGTGACAAGATCCAGAAGTCCGAGGCACGAAAGAGGGAACCGAATGCAGTCCAGAAGGGCAGTGCAGGAAAGCAGGTACTTATATTGATAGGGCAGTCCCACGGATCCCAGGCAGCCCCAACTAGCTAGCATCGGAAGCAAGCGGCCAAAGTGAAGGCGACCGTTATCGCGACGACGAAGACTATGGTGCTAATGATTTACGAACGGAGATGTGGTAACCGTCGTAGGTATAGCACCAGTAACGAGCATTTTCTGAGGACTGTGGCAACTCCATAGAGACGATGGATCACGAGCCGGTACTATCATCAAATATTCAGTAAAGTGATAGGCTGGTAGGCTACAAAGCGACATACCTTGACAGCAACGGCAGACTCGGACTTGGAGATGGTGCTTTCGTGCCTCCCAGTTTCATACTTAATACCTGCGGCTTTTTTCTGGGTTTTCAGGAGGGTTCTCACGGTTAGATGTGGCAAAATGTACAGCAAGCATACCGAGTGGGATGCAAATAACATTGGCCACTGATACAACTGTTGCCACGATTATGAACCGATTGTCTGCACCTGCCCGCCGCCGGAAAACAAAACAAGAGATAAGGCGGAAGTCCACAATAATAGCAGTCACTATCATTACAATTGGTGTTAAATCACAACAACATCTCCTTGATCATCATAGTTCTACATCGGACGGTTTGAGTCAAGGCTTTCCACTGTTCATCATTGACGCAGCCCTACGTGCACTTCCTTACGGTTCCAACGGCGACGCACCAATTGGTGAAGAGGCTGTTGCATTATTCCCGGACGCAGTTGGTTTGTGAGTACAATTTAACTGAGTGACTAGGTCGATCAAATACTTTGCAAACCCTCTTGTGGAGCATCAGAGAAAAGGAAAGACAGGGGCCACGAAACGCGCCCATCCGTCACCTGCTTGCATGCCTTCGTCCATGCCGCTCACTTCTTCATTAGGACTGTTCGGGAAGATTGGATGGTTAAGAATTCCCCGCAATATTGATTAGGTATTCTCTATAGAGGTAGTTGATGGAAAAATTGCCGGTGTCCCTTTAGTCTGCAGCTACGGAGTACATGAAATTAGAACACGCGTGGGAAATTCGGGGGTGGAGCCGGACTGCCCCTTGAGGTAGGCTCCTGGGGGCATACAAGTTGGAGCCGAAATCCTACAACTGCCGCAGAGAGATATTGATCTAGGGCTAAAAGCAGCGGCCTATTGGCCAATAGTACACTATTTCCTAGAAATACCTAGGTTCCGGACTCGATAGGATGAACGGTATAGGGCCTGGATATTCCATTAGACCAGACCGTAGTCCGATCCGTTTCGTGTCCAGTACGGTTCGCTATGATGCTAAACTTATCCGTAGAGCGCAACTAATTTTTTGGACGGTTCCGTACAAACTGTTAGGGCAACTATGAGTTGAAAGAGCTGCAAGACATACAAGATGTCTCTTATCCATCGCCAATCATTTTCGCCTTTGGTCTGTATCACTTTGGGCACTGGAGGTGGCAACAATACATAGACCGGCCTTGTTAGAAAGCAAGGTCGAGTTTCCTCCGGCTCTCCACCTCCCGCCAAGTCGTCTTTGTAAGGACATCGTGTGTCAAAGTCAGGCGACATATTCACGGGACACTGGTCGATTCCCATGGAAAGTAGACGTGAGGTGGATTCTTTCCCACTTCCAACGAGGTCTCAGAAGAAGTTTAGAAAGATTGCTTAAAAGATAAGTAAAAGAGTTGCAAAAAAGATGATCAGAAAAAGGAAGTAAATCAGCACCGAAAAAATACAAAAGAAATCAATGGATTACGATGACTCGGACGAAAATATTTCACAGTCAATAGCGAGAGACATTTGACATGATATGCATCCGAACAAAACACATGAGACTGTTAACCTCAATAAATAGATATGAAACCAAAGCTCCTTCACAGCATATGCTTATTCTCCAACTTATTCATCTTGTCGTGGGCCTTGATGAACTTTTTATAATTCGGAAACAATCCCTGGGGATCATATTTTTCCCGAATTTTCAAAAACTTGGCGAGAGCACTGTCACTCAAAACCCGAGTCTATATGCGGAGGTAAGCAATTGTACTCTGGGAAAGAGAAACGACTAGACTCACATTCGCATCGTCGTTGTTGACGTCCAACTCCGTGACGTATTGGCCGACAGCGACGGGAAAAGCTCGCCTATAATGATCCCTCATTGGCTGATAGATGCCTGGCTCGAGCTTTGGATCCGTCCATCCAGTAATTGTGGAGATGTACAGATCTTGTGGCAAACTCAGGGCAGCATCTTCCTCGTCAGGGACAATGTCACAGTGGCAGATGAACACCGACGAAGTTCTGGTGGGAAGCTCTAGCATGGCTGACTTGATAGCTTCAATGAGCTGCATCAAGTTAGAATATATTGATATTGTTATTAGAAACAATACTTACTCTTGGGAGCGGGCAAGCTGGATCATTCATGATGCTATTGATCTGCCAGCGCTCGGTTTTGCCGTTCCCCAGGAATCCACGCTTGCGGTTGAATACTTCTTCGAAAGTTCTCCTCTGAACAGGCTTCATCTCCAACAAGCTGTCACGAATGGAGTCCGGCATTTTGTCATATGCGCTTAAAAGAGTATGGGCTTCACGTAGTGTATCGGTATAGCACAGCAAGTTGAGATTCATATGAAGCTTTGCACCAGAAGGAACGTCATCCGTGGTATATCGAGGATCATACTTTTCAAGGTAGTCGATGGTGATGTTCAAGTCAGTTCCGTACTTGGGAGTGTCTCTTCCACGTTCGATAGTCCATGTCATCAACTCCTCGTACTTGTCACCGACCTCGAACTTGAATGTTCTCTCCCACATATTGGACGCTCGAATGGTTCGCCCCCAGAAGCGGGTGACGACACCAAAGAACCCAAGACCACTGCCACGAGCAGCCCAGAATAGTTCCTGGTTCTCTGTACGACTGGCAATCAAAATGCGTCCATCGGGGACAACAATCTCCATCTTCATAATCCAAGTCTGACTGGTCGCGCCCCATCCACGCACAAACCAGCCCTGACCACCTGCGAGCATAAAGCCTCCGGAACCGACGGTGGGAGCATGGCCATGTGGAAAGAACCGCTTTACCTCGCCAAGTTTCTCTGCAAGCTCCTCAACGCGGCATGATGGTCCAAAGCAGATCTCCCGAGTAACGGGGTCGTAGTCTATTTTCCGGTTAAGATTCACAGTATCGATGAGAATTCCATCTTGAATGAGGTTCCCCAGGTTCATAATATGACCCGAAGAACGGATACCAACTGTAACACCCAGTTCCGATGCGCGCTTCAACGCAGCCGACACATCCGTAGGGCTTTCAACTACGTGAATCTCACGGGGATAGCGTTTGGGAGTATCGGCAGTGGGATTCATACACCGACACCTCTCATAGTCTGGTGTTCCACAGACAAGGACCTTAGAACCATATTTTGGCTTGGTGTCATACCGCGGTAGTGCCATGTTGAAATTGCTTGGGTGACGAGGACAAATTGGGGAGTACTATGAACAGGTAGAATGCTTTTCGAAGTAGATGCTGGCTTGGAAACCATTGTTTCAATCGAAGGACTCGGACGATTATTTATCCTGGTAACAACAATCCTCAAACATAGTGCACCATCGGAAACACTGTATGGCAGGGTGGAGTTGGTATACTGTCGCAGTTCGGAAGTTCCTGATACTGTAACAAGCCCAGCTTGCGTCTACCCGCTGACTGAAGACGGATCTCTAAATGCTTTGTCCCGCGCGTGAAGCTCAGCCCCGACATGAGAACTCGGGTCCTTACAGGCCATCTGTCGCTCCAAAAAGCTGGGGAAGCAATTCGGCTTCCCCAATAAACATAACCCGTCGCTGCCCTGGGCCGTCTGATCAAATTCAGTTGAGGATCCCAAATAGGCGATCGGAAAGGTCCCGGAACTTAACTCTCTCAGTATCTTCAAGGCCGCCTAATCAAATTCAGTTGAGGATTCCAAATAGGCGATCGGAAAGGTCCCGAAACTTAACTCTCTCAGTATCTTCAAGGCCGTCTAATCAAATTCAGTTGAGGATTCCAAATAGGCGGCGATCGGAAAGGTCCCGAAAATTAACTCTCTCGGTATCTTGCCTCTCTTTACCACCATCAATGTTCGGTATCTTCAGATTGGCCCGAGTTCGGAGCGGAATCCAGAGGGTGATTTCCTAGCCCGCTTCTGCAAGGCTTCCGACAGGGGATCCGCTTGATGATGAGGAGAAAATGACTTAACTGAGGCCAAAGACTCTAGTGCACAACCACTTCAGTAATGCCACTTGTCTATAAAGGAGTACTTGATTGTCTATACCATCTCTGCTATGTCCCAAGCAATGCCCATCAACACAACTACAATGGCTGAAGAACAAAATGATCTAATCGTTGTAGGGGCAGGTAAGCAGTCATTATTGCTAGAATCGGCTCAAATCTCACACGTGCTTTGTTAGGCTGGTTCGGGCTTGCAGCAGCCAAGCATTATATTCAACTGCATCCAAACGAGCGTGTTGTCGTCATCGAGTCAGCCAGCAGCTGCGGAGGGACATGGGCGGAGCACCGGCTGTACCCGGGGTTGAAGTCAAACAACATGATTGGATCTTACGAATATCCCGATTTTCCTATGTCTGAGGACATATACGGGGTCAAGCCCGACAGTCATATTCCTGCTGCCGTTTTGCACCGGTATCTGACGGATTACGCCAAACACTTCGGAGTTTTTGAACGGGTTGTCTTTAATACCGCCGTAGACTCTATTGAAAAGGGCGCGGATGGTGGGTGGAAAATCCATACAGTGTCTGAGAAAGGACCGGCTTCTCTGCAGACTAAGAGACTTATCTTGGCCACCGGATTAACATCAGCGCCGAATATGCCCACATACCCTGGACAGGATTCTTTCGGCAAACCATTCTTCCATGCAAAGGACTTTCGGTTGCAGGCTGATACTTTGAACACATCAAAGAAAGTAGTCGTCGTCGGAGGTGCAAAATCTGCGTTTGATGTTAGCTTTGCCTACGTTCAGGCCGGAGTTCAAGTGGACTTAGTCATACGTCCGGATGGAAATGGGCCCGTCTGGTTGTGTCCGCCATTTGTGACCCCCCTGAAAAGGAAGCTAGAGGAGTTGCTGCATACAAGATGTCTCACCTGGTTCAGCCCCACGCCATGGGGGGATGAGGATGGGTTTTCATTGCCACGAAAGTTCCTTCATGGCACCAAGATTGGACAACTTCTCGTACATAACTTCTGGCACGCTCTGAGCTCCGATGTCATCGAGATGAACGGATATGAAGATCATCATTATCCCAGTCTCGCTGCTCTTAAACCGTGGACTTCGGCATTTTGGACAGGCAGTGGAGTGAGTATCCACAACTTCGACACAAGTCTCTTTGAGCTGGTTAAAGAGGGCAAGATCCGAGTCCATACGGCAAACATTACCAATTTGACTCCCGGAAAGGTTCATCTATCTACCAGTAATATATTGGACGCCGATGCTATAATCTGTGCGACTGGGTGGAAGAAAACTCCTTCATTTCAATTTACAAACTGGGATGCTGCACTCCCTCGCTCAGAAGTTGAAATGGATAAACTCATCAGATCTGCAGATGATGAGATTCTTTCCCGTTTCCCCATTCTGAAGTCCCAGCCATCGCTTCGTTTCGAGGCAAAAAACCCTTCGAAGCCTCAACGACTCTACCGGTTTATGGTGCCACCAACCCTCTGGGAAGACCGTACGTTGGCATTTGCTGGAATGATCTCGTCTGTCAGTACTTCTATTTGCGCTAGTCTTCAGGGACTGTGGATCTCGGCGTATTTCGATGGAAACCTCAACCGAGTTCCCGCCAACCAAGAGGAAGCCATCCAGGAAGCTGTTAGTAATTCCCAGTGGGGTAAATGGCGATATCCCTGTGGTTATGGCGGCGAGATTGCCGACTTTGCCTTTGATGCTCTTCCATATTTTGACCTCATTACCAAAGACATGGGATTGAAGAATCACCGCAAGCCGCCTCCAATGTCCGAGATGACTGAGCCATACAAGCCCTGGGATTATAAGCAAGTGGTTGAAGAATGGCTTGCGATTCACCCAGTATAAGGTATCGAAAACTCGGAGAAAGTACCTGATGCCGTTCATACTTACTGAGTTGACTGAGAAGTTGTTGATTTTATTTGATGCGACTATTTGTTTTTTCTTGCGAGAATATCATTTCGGATCATGGGATTTTCGTACGCATGCTGTAAGGACTAGTGCCAAGGGAACTAATTGAGGTGATTGACTGATTGGTTGGAGCACTATCTAGGCACTATCTAGGAGTTCGCTGTTGAGAAGGTTTTCTATCCTCCAGGGCGATACTGGCGTGTTACAACGGCGATATTCCGAATTGATTCACTTTACCGTACGGAACCTTAGGGGTTTGGGTGGACGCTGAATCATCCTGTGTCAGAATAACTAACTAATGGCTCGACGGGTATTTTTATCCAGCTGCCGCATTGTAATCTCACGCACACGTTAGGCCGCTACACCTAACGGATTACATAAGACACATTCTGCCACTAGGCCAAAAGGTCGTAACAACAATCGGGACTCCGATTGTGTGCTGTAGCGGTATATATACTAGGCCCTAGCGCCTGCCCGGGACCACAGCATTCCTGACACTAAATCACATGATCCGCCTAAATGGAAACTGTGCCCCGACCTGGACGTTGGACAGATCATATTAAAAAGAGTTTTCCCGCTTCTCTGCTAAATTATAAATATAGACATGATAGCTAGACCAGAATAGCATCGTTTTCAATAATTGTCACATAACACTATCTGGTAGATTTACTAGTGTATACACAAATTTCGCACTCCCACATCTTGTTTTTAGCGGTAATTAAGGTATTGGCGCTCCGTTCGACAGTTGATATTGTCAAATCTAAACTGTACGACGTCATAAAATGGAACTGCAATTCAAGAATAAATAAGTCCCTAATTCAAACAAATCTAGGGATGCCCTACAATTTATGGGCGCAATAACTAACAACAAACTAATACAAAATAGGGAATAGGCGGTGAGAGTCTATGCTTCACATCCCAATCTTGACAGATATTAATGCAGCAAATAATTACTGACACAGATCTTGAGTGTGCAAGGATTCATAACACGAGGGACGCAAAATGAGCGCCTGTATTTACTCAAGATACTCAACCAGCTCATAGCCATCAAACTAGTTTCGATACATCCTCCTAGCAAACCAGATGGGCAATAGGCAGGGTAGATCTACAGAACTTGCGGTCAGGCTACTCACGGACCAGGTCCGTACGGCTTGGTCCCACAAGGCAGTCGCCTCGCTTTTACAGCTAGACATTATGGGAGCCTTCGACACAGTAGGCCACCGGCGACTCCTAGACACCCTACAGAGGAAGGGCTTCCTACAATGGGTACTCAACTGGACCCAAAGCTACCTCACGGACCGGAGTGCGACGCTTTTCTTCGACGAGGAGGAATCTGACCCAATCCGGATACAGTCCGGAGTCCCATAGGGATCCCCCTGTCCCCTATACTCTTTCTTATCTACATCGCCTGTTTATATGAGGCGCTCAAGGAGGTCTAAGGGATATCGGTGATTGGCTTTGCGGACGATATAAACATAGTAGCCTTTGCCCTAACCGCGACCAAGAACTGCCGGATACTTTAGGAGGCCTAGGAGGTGTATGAGCAGTGGGCAAGTGCCTACTAGGTGCAATTCGAGCCAGAGAAGAGTGAGCTCGTCCATTGCACGAGGGCACGGACGCCGCCAACTGACGGGATATGGCTGGGGATGTACAACTCTAGCCGTAGGCATCAACACGCTTTCTACGGGTCTAGGTTTACCGGAAACTCACCTAGTGGGCGCACGAGCAACAAATACGGCGGAAACTCGAGACCCAACGGCTCGCGCTCACGAGGTTAGCAGCATAGACATAGGGATACTCACTCGCAAGAGCCAGAGAGGTATATACGAAGGTCATATTGATCGAGCCGTCAATTCTAAATTACACGGAATAAGTCAGGGGAAGGGACTCATTCATTAGCTGCTTTGGAGAAGTACGCCTTGGAATATTCGGGGGCCTACTTGAGCGGGATGACCTGGTGGGACCCATCGCGGAACCGAAAGCTGCCCATACGAGTCGTAATCCCGGATTTGCAGACCAACGAAAAGATGCTGCCCTTGTTGTCAGTCCCGAGTATATGCAGCTCAAACCAGGTTCCATTCTGAGTGGCAGTAGACTCACGTGAACAAGCGTGTAGGGTTGATGGTGAGATATTCGCATTTGATGCTTTTCTGGCACACAATGAGGTCTTTCCCGACAGAGGATCAGTTACTCCTACTACTACCACTATAGAAAGTTGACTTATTATCTAATAATACTTGTACTAATTAAGGGGGTTCACCTCCCTAATTCGCACGTGTATACGATCTATAGATAGCCTCCCATATATACAATTGGACTACAATTTGCAAAACGATAATAAATCTTTATTTACTTTTTAATATATTATACGAACGCAAATAAATATCCCTTTCATTATAAATCGCATATAAGAGGTAGATACGTGGTCACCATAGTAGCTTTTTCGTAAGTAGAATTCAAAGATATATATTCGTGCTCTTGTACACATACCTCTACCTACCATCATCATCCCTACCAGGCCGCATCTGAGGGGGAAAAAGGAGTTAACTAGATTGAACGAACAAGGCCACTAGATATTCCAACGTGAAGCTGAATTTTCACAGTATTCATTCTATCTCATTCCATGTATGTGACCGTTTTCGGCTGCAAAAACTCATTGATGCCCCATTCGGCATTAAAACGACCCCAGCCACTGCTCTTCTGACCACCATGCGCCAATGCAACCTCATCATGAACACTCATGCTATTAATATGAACAGCACTGCAAATCAATTAGTTTGTATTTCAAAGAGGAGCGAGTTACAAAAAAAGAAGGGGAAACATTGATCAACACTCACCCGGTATCCACCTGTCGGGCCATCCTAAGCCCTCGTCCAAGGTCGCTGGTGAAGATGGAGCAGGACAGGCCATATTCAGTGTCGTTTGCCAGTGCAAGAGCCTCTTCATCAGAGTCTATTGAGTAAAGAGATACAGTGGGTCCGAAGCTTTCCTCATAGAAAACGTCCATGGTTTTATCAACTCCCTCGATAACCGTTGGCTTCAATCGCAGCTTGGATTCTTCTTTAGAGTCGGGAAAAGTTTCGCGGCCGTGAGGATCACCAGTCAACAGTTTTGCTCCCTTTGCCTCTGCATCGGTTGCCAACCGTCGATTTCTGTCCACGGCCCCCTCCTGAATCAGAATACAGCTTTTACCAACACCAGAGTCCCATTTCTCTACCTCCATCAAGAAGGCTTCGCGGAAAGGCTCAAGAATCTTATTCGATATGAGAATGCGCTCCGTGCTCATGCACGCCTGTCCTGAATTGACGAATGCACCGCGCGCACACTCTCGTGCTGCGAGCTTGATGTCAGCGTCCTCGGTGACAATTGCTGAGGCTTTCCCACCAAGCTCCATCAATGCCGGCTTCAGGACCTTGGCTGCCTCGGCGGCTACCAAAGACCCCACAACCGAGCTTCCAGTAAAGTTCACCTTCCGAACGGCTGGGGCGTGAATTAGACGGTTTGTCACCGCAGCAGACTCCTGGCGTTGCGTATACAGAATGTTTAGAACACCAGAAGGTAAACCGGCCTCATGAAAAATCTCGCCAATATGGTGGAAGCACCGCGGGCTCATTTCAGCTCCTTTCAGTATGCAAGTGTTTCCTGCTGCAATTGGATACAAGGCAGCACGAACTCCGAGCAAATATGGCGCATTCCATGGAGCTATTCCAAGTACAACACCGTAAGGCACTTTGTAAAGCAAAGCACTCTGGCCGTCTTGCTGGGGGTGTGGAATTTGGCCAGTCAGACTCTGTGCCAGTCTTCCGGCAGCATCTCGAAACATCTCCGCAGTTGTGGCCGTGTTGAATCTGGCAAAGCCGGCATCGGCTCCGATTTCCTCTCGTATTGTGTCTTCCAGCTCATCGCGACGCTTGTCGAACAGGTCGGCAGATCGAAGTAATATGTCGCGGCGAGCAGCCGGTTTGGTGCTGGCCCAGTTTGGGTAGGCGGACACCGCAGATGACAATGTCTCATCTGCATCAGCTTGAGATGCAGCTGAACATTCATAAATTGGCTTTTCAGTAATAGCGCTCCTCACGGTGAATGTGTTGGCTGTGACGTGTTGTCGACCGTTGATCCAGAGAGGGATTGTTTTCCGCAGAGCAGAGGATGCTCCATCGAGCGTAGGCAGTATCATTCTTGCAAGAATTAAAGTGACTCAAACATTCCTTTCTGACCTGAGCAAATCGGATCAGAGCGGAGTCATATACATCATGAACGCTATTTAATCTCTCTCGCGTATTTACTCACCATTTGCCTCCTTGTTTCTAATTCCGAAAATTCCGAAAAAGGCGCAAACCAGCGCGTCCGACCTGAATCATGACGCGTCTTCTTATCAGCCAATCTCAAATAAGGCCAATAAGTTTCCTAAATTCCCTACACTTCCCTGGTCCAATGATTGGGGAGTGGACTATCTTGAAGGTCCTCAAACAAAAGATGTGTGGGAGCTAATCAGAAGAAAGGCAACGATGATAGGCATTGCCTTATCAGCCAATGAGTGACTTTTTAGAGAACCCCACGCCGCCGTCGCTCCCGCTCGATGCGGGGGTGGCCATTAAGGTTACCGGGATATTGATATTGAGTTGGGACAGGTATCCCCGTTGGCGTTGCGTTACTGAGCGATCGCATCTTTTCTCTCCCCCAAAATCCTTGTTGGAATCATCATGTCTCCCTCTCGACAGGAAAACGGCGACCAAGAAGCAAACACTGGGCGGAGGACTCGGGCGCCCTATACTCAACGCGCTTGCACCGAATGCAAGCGCCGTAAGCAGCGCTGCAGCGGCCATGAACCGTGTAGGAACTGTGAAAACCGCTCAGTGCAATGCAATTATGGGACATGCGATAGCTCGCACTATGACGGGGGTAATGATTGCCTAAAGACGGTGACAAGGTAAG